TACTGTTCTGCACAGTTGGCTAGTCTTCGTTGAGACTAGCCGCCGTGACCGAAATTCGCTCTGGAGGACATTATTATATAGTTTTAACCACCACAACGATAAAGCGTAAGCCCTAGTGTGGGGAAAAGTTGTTTTTCTAAAATACGTATTAATTGCTAAACATTTAAATGTTTAAGTCAAGCAGGTTTCCCCAAGACGTTTTCTTCACAGCCGATGGCATAATTAATCTGCATTTTTTACTTATATGCCAGTTCTTGAATACAAAAAAGCACCCACATCGGGTGAGCTATGTGGGTTCCTTAATTCGTGTTCACTGTGGGTGACCACCGCCCCCTAACACAAGGAGAGAAACCGAGGCAAGCTCTTATCCCCTAAGCTATCATAATTTTTGTACGGTAAAGTGTCACATATCTTCGAAATATAAAATCTTGAATGTGAGTCATCTTAACTTATGTAACGTTATTACTGACTATTACTACGAAATTCTGTCTGTTAATATTTATAGAATGACGCCACTTTTTCGAGAATTTAGTCGATTACGCAAACACGATTTATCAAGTTCAGTTTCGATCCGGTTATAATTTAGACGTTGTATGATCTTGACCTCTAAAAAGTAATGACCTAGATCGATTAAGAGCGCATATTCAAATATGTCCAAGTCGAAATCTACGCGATCGCTTTGGAACGGCGTAATATTGACGCACACTACAATGTTATCTCTGTGTGCGTGTCAGGACGAGCGTGAGGCTATAATAGTTGCCTTTAGTTGCACGAATCACTTTGAACTTTGATTATATACCTGTCTTTGATACTATTGGAACTAAAATAATAAAAAAATAATTTCCATATAATGGCTTATATAGTGTATAGAAATCGGAGGCTAATATGTGAATATTGTTTTATTCTTTTAGTAAATTGAGGTCGGCTTTACATTTTCACCATATTGAGTATATTATAATATATGTTCTAATCGAAAAATATGTATTATATAAAGTATACATCATTTGATAAACTTTTATTCTGTTTCATGATGTAAACATAATTCATCAAACTAACAATTTCATTAGTGTCGGCGGGGGTTAGTGTTGCCAGGTCTAGCAAGTAAAATTTCGGGACGGAAGGTAAAAATAATCGGGGATTTGGTTTTCATATCCAGACATCTAAAATGACTACAAAATATAGGTTTCTTTGTAGCCTTTTTGTGCTTTATTGAGAGCCGTGGTAGCTCAGATGGTCAACGCTCACTGTAAATATCACAGTATGCGAGTAATGCGAGAAATTGTGACTGTAACTTTACTTTACTTTTGTGCTTTATAATTATTATTCGGTTCTGATCTCATGAACGAATAACTTTTCATCGGAACATCATAAAAACTGATTTTTTTTTTCATTTTAGGCAAATTCAAACATTTTTGAACTAATCGTTTTTTTGCAGTTCCTGAATTTTTCAAATCACTCATTTTAATATAATTCTGTTTAAAACTTTTGTGTTTTTTTTCGACTGGTGAGACAATGTCGTAGTAAAAATATTTTAATGTGGTAGTAGCTAACAGATGTAATCATTTTTGCAGTCAAAATTATGGATTAAAGTATAGAATAAGAAGGTTAGTGAAAATCGGGACATTTGGCGTTCCGATCAAGGGTGAATCGGGACGTGTCACTAGAGCCTTGAAAATCGGGACGTCCCGCGTAAATCGGGACACCTGCAACGCTAGCGGGGATCGAACCTGGATTGTTCGCGGTTACGGCGAGATATCTGGGGGCATGGCAGTGCCCCCGCCAAGTCGAGCAAAACAGCAGCACGGCCGTATCATCATTACGAGACTTGGTTATTTTACAAGTTATGTTTTTGATGGCATGTCTTTGTTTAATCATAATTTTTCCTAAGTACATCGTGGCAGTTTAAATATACCAATTGCACAAGGACAAACATCCAGACCTGGAACAATTATTTGTAGGTAATACAAATTTTTGTTCCATGTGGGATTCGAACCCGCGGCGCTCAGCGCTACAACTCATTACCAAGTCACTCCGCCACGGAGCCAAAGGTGAAAGCCAACGATTTTGTATTTTTACTTGATCCGAATTGCTTACGTTCATTACTCATTTCTAAAAAAATATGTATGAAATGAAAATTTGCCACCATTACGTCATTTAATATTTAAATATTACTATCATAAACATATTTCAAAATTACTTAGTAAAGTAAAAGTAAAGTTACAGCCTATATACGTCCCACTGCTGGGCACAGGTCTCCTCTCATTTCTGAGAGGGTTTTAGGGCAAGGAAAAATGTCCGCCGCGCTGCCCCAATGCGTGTTGGTGAACTTCACATGTCTTCGAAATATTTTTTTCTTATTTCTCAGACATGCATGTTTTCCTTCACCGCCGAGCACGTGGTAAATCAGTACTTAAAATTGCAATTAACAATTTCATTGGTGCCGGCGGGGATCGAACCCGGTTTGCTCGCGTACTGTGAAATTTACAGCGAGCGCTAACCATCTGAGCTACCACGGCTCAAAATTACTTATGCTGCGGCTACACCTAACGAGCAACGTCAATGCCCATGAACGCAACAATTATTGCCTTAAATAACGCGATAAAATGAGTGGCTACACTTGAACGGTCAACGTCGTTTCCCGTTGAACGGCATTAAATTTGCCGTTGAACGGCGTTAAATGTTTTTAATGTTCCTTGAATTTCAAGCAAGATGGATGTTGACGCAGCTACTCTATATTTGATGAGTGTAAATTTTTATTATATGAATATATTGTATCATTGCCAAACGAAGAAAAAAAGAATACAAAGAAAAAGAATAATTTAATGTGTGATTACTTTCATAAACCCCTCGTAGGAAACCATCCATCGTTTCGAATGCGAACCAACTAGTTGTATACACGTCCTTTGTGCCAGCTCCGGACCTCAAAGACTTTATATTTGTTTAAATTATTTTCTATAATAACCCATTAGGCTTTCCCTTTTCTTTTTAATTTCTTCAATTGATGATTGAAAGGGTAGCAGTTGCAAAATACGTCGCCAAGCATCATATTGCGATGTACGATTTTTATAACTTTTAAGTCTCGGATCCCACAAACATGGCTCTGTTTGCAGGATCTCAAGAAACGTTGTAACTTTTTCGTTACTCCACTCCATCGCAGCCATATAACCCCGTGGCACTCACCGTGCACAATGAGACAAACGTAGTGTGGCCGCTTCAACGCGATAATTCGCGCGTTAATCCTTTGATGTACCGACACTCGAGTTATCGGCAAACGGGAAACGGCATTGTTAATGCCGTTGAAAATTATCGCGTTAATTCGTGGCCACACCTAAATTTAACGTCCATCAACGCGATATTTAACGGCATTTCTCCTTAGTGTGGCCGGGCCATTACTATCAAAAATATCGCTTATAAAAGTCTCAATCGTTTAAAATGCTCGATGTTGCTATAGGCATCTAGTTATAGTATAGTGTAGTATAGCCCTATCGGTGTATCAACTCGATCGCGCGGGGTCGGTGAGAAAAAGTAATACGTCCTATCGTTAGGATTACCCGGAGCGTACTGAATCGAATTCGAACGGCGTCTGCGCATGATTATTTATAGTATTTTTAAAATAATTAATTAAATTAATTGACAAAATAAAACGAGCAAAATTTTTTTTGGATATTTAACATTACATGTATTTGGATAAAATAATTAAAATAGATATATTACCAAATACATGGAAAAAATTACATTGAAGTAGACAGTTTTGGTGATTTTATAATATTATTTTATAATATTAAATCGAAATATTTTCGTAACTTAGGTTTTGCTATACAATAAAAGACTATATATTCCATTATAATAACGCTTAAAATAAAGTATTTTAGCTTATAATAATGGTTGTATTAAGAATAACTCTGATGCATATTTTCGTAAAACGCTGTGAAGGGATTGTCTTCGCCCTAAAAAAATCGTCATTAAAAACTATGATTTTGCATTGCTATGTACTAAATAAAGATTTCATCTTTCTAGAGCCCTAATTTTCAGCAAATAATCTCCTCACATCGTTACGATATCGCCTTTGGAAAAACCATAAAACATGTAGTTTTCGACGCGAAACGCATATGCCCTCTTAAGTATAATGTTTTTAATAAAATATTTAAATTAAAAATGATTATTAAAGTTTTCTGATGAACTTTTTGATAACATGTATTAGATCACGAATACTTTAGCTATTATTTTAGCTAATATTAATTCAAATTATTGTTATAATATATAAATAAGCTATATTTCCGAATCTCGTATTGCTTATTTAAATAAATAATATGAACATTTATTTACAATGTTTGGGTTCTAATTAAACCTCAATTTGATTAAGATAATCGATTATATATATATATATATATATATATATATATATATATATATATATATATATATATATGTACGCGTGTTTGTCACTGAACCACCGCTAAACGTATGGCAGAATTTTGATGAAAGGTTTGTGTGTGTTTGAGTGAATTCCAGGAGTTTAGATCCACAATTGTGCATGGAAGGTGGCGCCATTATCCAGAAATCAGCCACGCGAATTAAATCGGATCGCTAGTTCAATCTGAAATGGTTATCAGTGCCAGTTGATTAATGGATAACGAAAATAACTATAACAATGTAACTGAAATATTCTCAAAAGGGTCATCTATCATTCAATCAGAGATCAAACTGCAAAACAAGCTGGTTTACTCCAATCGAATTCCAAGTACGTCACAAGAAATATTGTAATTAACTTGTGCAATGTGATCAAGTGACAGCCTGTAGGGGTGCATTGCAAATATGCAGTTTGAATACCATTCAACATATTTCTTAGAATTACTTGTTCTAAATTTTTTTTTAATCATTATATATACATCTTAGACTATTTGTTCGCATCTTTATTTATAACTTACGGGGATCTTTATGGAGAGTATTTATTCCGTTGTTTAATATATTTTAATGAAGTTTTAACTCTTTGTTCTCAGGTGCTGTATGTGTCTGCCGTACCGAACCCTATCTCCAACGTGTTGAAACTTGACTTGGATCCTGATGAAGCCCAGAACTATATCAACAACCCACCTTACACCGAGCCTCAGCTGGTTGGACGCAAGGCTGTTTTACCTCTGGTTTGTGGTTTTCACATTTTGTTTATACATACATATTCTTATTTTATTATTAGTTTGTAGGTTAGGGCAAGTGTCATAAGAATGGCACATAATATGTATTATTTATAGTTTCAAGTGTTCGAACGCATTTATTTTTGTGTATTTGAGATATAAAGATCAATAATATTTAATTTCCTGCCAAAAGGAGTGAGAAACGCGTGAGCGTGGAGCCTACGCTCGGTGTTTTCTACAAAGGAAGTCGACAGCCTAGTATAGCTGCGAACAGTTAGGAGTATTAATGAGACTGGTCGCTGAGAACTGAATGTTTAAAATGCTCAAAGCGGTGGGTCGTAACATACGTGAACGACCACTATTAAAAAAATTAACTGTCAAATGAAATTACAGTTCACCTGATGGTAAGTGGTTATTGCACTCCATAGGTACCTGCAGCTAACTTTATAAGGCTTCAGATGCGTTACCAAAACTGAGGACTAAGATAAAATACATCATAGCATGTAATTATACTGGTTTTATATATCCCTTATGTATCATTTACCATCAGGTGAGCCGTATGCTCGGTTGCCTTCCCTTTCCGTATGTCTACCCACCTGCTCAGAACACTAACTAAGTTAAAATCACTACTATAAGGCGATCTATGGGGGAACACTGCGTTTAGTAATGAACTTTAATAGGCTGTACTGGATGGATTTCTATTAGAAACGACTATTTATAATGCTAGAAAAATGTTATGCTTTTAGTAATAATAATAAAATATTTATTCATTGACTAAAAGTAACAAATTATTTAAAAGTTAGACTACTTAATAAAAAAATAATATTGTAAGAAGTACAATGGGAGATTTCGACTCAGCACGTGTTGCAGAGAATCTACAACGCTCTGTCAGCACCCGTATACTTAATTAATCATGGTATAACAGTACGCGTACATAACTGAATAGTGATTATATTACAAATAACAATTGATTTGTTTGATTATTTAGTAAAAGTAGATAATAAATTAAATAATATTACAAAAATATAAACGAAATATAAAACAAACATATGCAATAAATAATATTAAAAGTAAGAGCTACAGTAGTGTTTGATTTATTCAGACTAATTATAGAATAATTATACTAAACAATCGGTAGACCGTACCTCGTTTACGCCGGCGTAAAATACTCAGACATGTGAAGGACAGCAGCGTTAAAGGTAGGGTTCCCAATCCTCCCGAATTGCACGGGAGACTCCGGTGATAATGGTTTATCTCCCGACCTCCCAATAAGGTGGGTGCAATAATTACTCAGGTTTTTTTGCGAAATCGACAAATATTAGATGTTGCTCTAAAGAAAAGTAAATAAAATTTAAAAATTAATAAATGATTGAGATTTTCTCCCCCCCGTCCTTGATTACATAAAATTGTCCCGGGTTGGTCGTCTGGTATTGTAATTGTCAATCCGCCTGCAATGTGTGGCGGATCCTCGATACAACAGCTCGCCCTCTAATGTCCAGCAGAGAAATGAGCAGAAGAGTTGTTAAAGAGAAGAGAGTCTTATAAAGAAGAAGAGCTAGAAGGAGCGAAAGCTAATAAATAGACTAATTCATAATATTTAATATTTCAGATCAGGTTTGACGATCCGAGGTTTCGCTCTGCTGAAGCAGGCCCAACCCTTGGTCATTACTGGAGGAATGGAGAGGAGATCACGAACCCAGAAGATTACGTTGAAGAGGTATGTATATCAAGAGAATTTTTTTAATGTTTTGAAATTTATAAATTTGTATATTGCCTTTGACTTGGTCGGAGTGGATTTTATCCAAGTATTGGCGGATTACGATACGTTGTAGAAATGTAGAATAGTAATTTTACATTACAATTATGAAGGCTCGGTAGCTAAGAGTTTAGCTGAGACACAATAGTTAAGAGTTTGTCTGCGACACTGCGGACCACCGGTTCGAATATCGCACGGATTTTTTATATATCTGCAGAAATTGTTCGTGGTCTTGAAGCTATGATTATGAACATTGGTCTCCATGTGCTACTTATATGTATGCTAAATACTTCCACACATATAGAAGACATTCTTAGTGGTGTGATAATTGTTTCCTCCTCCTCCTTATCACCTCATCTAGTAAAGTTTAGGAAAGTAAAGTAAATATGGGCCAAATTAAGAGTACCCTTAATCAACGAGTTTGACGGCCCGATGTTAAAGTTAACCTGGAGTACCTTCAGCTTTTTAATTATTACTTTTAATCCGATCTACGTCGAATGAGCTTACTGTGTCTCACTAGGTGTATTAATAGGTATGCAATAGATTGTTCATTGATATTAAGATATTTTTATTTAAATCATATTCAACAAATATTCTTCGTTTCTCTGTTTGTTCGTTGTTATTAATTACGGAAATAGACGGGAGTGTTCAGTCAATACTAACTTTGTATGAACATTGTCCAAGGCTTAATTTAGCATAACTGCTTAATATACAATTATGAATATTATTTAATATGCACTTGTTAAATATTAACTAAGTATATAATCACGATTGTCGGTTTATGCAGATCCATTATTTGCTTGAAGTCGTTACCGCTCCAACCGGTTTCATTATTTGAAAACAACCCATCAATTTGCGTCTTCATCTTGTATTTATTCAATTAAATAGTTGTATTTGCTTTTTTAAATTTGTATTACATCATTTTGCAAAAAAAAAATACGGAAAATAGTTAAATTAATAAAAAATACGGATAATAGTTTATATAAATAGATGAAGTCTCCGTACTGCTCTCATACGTCCTACTCAATGGATACTTTTCAACGTGGCAGAGTTAAGCTACAACTACATTATGCTTGTAGCACGAATAGTCTGCTCGACCGAGTAGGACCACACTCTCACAGAATACTAGCGTAAAATAGTACATAGCTTAATGCTGCTGTGTTTCGTATGGTGAGTGTATAGAACCGGATACCCTTTTTACTGGAAACGAAGCATTCCGTATTAGTCCTGAGCGTTGAAAATGTATCTGCGTTTTGATTTTTAATCTAATATAAATGTAGATGACTATGAGCCACAGCATCCCCTTACCATCAGGTGGACTATACGATTGTTTGTCACCCCTATTCTATAAAAAAGGGGCGAGGTCTCCCCTCATTACTGATTGGTTTTATATACGTACAGTGCCACTTGATTATTGATAATTAAAAGTCAAAATGTGTTGTTGTTTGCTCGTGAGAACTAAAATGGATACAGAACAAATTTACCATGTCAACTCCTTTGTAGTCTGCGGGTAGGTTTACTATATGTACACAAGCGACAGTGGCCCAATGGCAGGGTGCGGATTGTGAACTTAAACGATCTTGCGTTCGAATCCGCTATTTAACTACCTTTGTGTACCACTCCTAGCAAAGCATTTTAAGCTTATCAGGAGAAGCTAAATGGAATATTAGTAATGTTGATAGCATTGCTAGTATTCAAAAAAATATTTACATGTAGGAATGTTATCCGATGGCCTGCAGTACATTCTCTATGATATTATAAAAACGAGTAGACAAACTCCTTTAGCTGTATTTACGGAACATTTGAGCATTTTTATATTTTTTTCAGATATACGACGCTTCTCAATACCATGGCCAGGACGGCCGTGGTGCATACGTCTACGGATATGAGACCCCGGAGTCCGCAAAAGTAGAAGACCGCGCAGGATCCGGCAAAGTCAAGGGATCCTACACGTACAAGAGTGGCAACGACATCATTAAGGTAAATCTATTTATATATCTATTACTTACATTACAGGCTAACAAAATCTACTGCTGAACATAGGCCTCCTCCATAAATTGCCTCATAGGGGTGCGGGTGCGGGGGGGGGGGTTTGCTATAGATGATGATGAAGATGCTGCTACCCATCACCTCTTTCAATCTCCCTCCATCGCCTCACGACACCCGCGGGGAATGGGTTAGTGGATATTCTTACACCGCCACTTACTACACACACTATTCTTACACGGTGAAGGTAAATCGCTTTTATTTTTTTATTTATTACTAATTTAACGTTTTTATATATTTTTAGCCAAGTTCTTTTTATTGTAAACTCGCGTGCCTCTGCTATTATTGGACATATCCAAAAAGAGAAATCTGAGCGTAGTAAGCAGCCACTCCGCTAAATAGAAGCTACCGTTTCGTTTAGTATATATATATGAGCCGTGGTAGCTCAGTGGTTAACGCTCGCTGTAAATATAACAGAACGCGAGTAACCCGGGTTCGATCCCCACCGGCACCAATGAAATTGTTAATTGCAATTTTAAGTGCTGATTTACCACGTGCTCGGCGGTAAAGGAAAACATCGTGAGGAAACCTGCATGTCTGAGGAATAAGAAAAAAGACATGTGAAGTTCGTCAACACGCATTTGGGCAGCGCGGCGGCACTTCCTTGCCTTAAACCCTCTCAGAAATGAGGGGAGGCCTGAGCCCAGCAGTGTGTAACTTTACTTTACTTTTTACTTTATATATATATATATATATATATATATATATATATATATATATATATATATATATATATATATATAAGCAGTCCATATTTATCTTTAAGGCAGATTGACTTTGAACTTGACCTGAGAGCCGTGGGTTCGAATCCCAAACCAAGTATTTGTGTGGCCTACGAATAATAGTTTTGGGTCTGGTCTATGTTTTGATTGTTCTACGTTTGCTAGTTAATGTATGCCCATGTGCACTTTATGCATGTAAACTGCCTCCACGAGACAGGAGAAAATCATAGTGATTGGTTTTTTTAAATGAGTATAGAAAAAAAACAGATTCTTAATTGAGGTGGGTATGGGCCACAACTTCCACTTACTATCAGTTCGATTGTGTGATCGTTGCTGGATTTTATGGGCTGTAAAGGTATTGATGATGTTAAAGTATACGTAGTAACATAAAGAGATACAGGATGTAGCCCTAGTGGAGGTAGGGTACAGGCTATAGTGTCAAAAACAAGGCAACGTTCAAAACATTATAAACAACCAGAAAGCACACGACGTTAACTAAAACTCAAAGAATTTCTCAGAAAAAAATTAATGATGTAAATATATTAAATTTGGCCTCTAAGTATATTTACGATAATTTAATGTGTGTTCATAAAAACAAAAGTAGTTTTAATTAAAAAAAAAAAAAGATATATACACACTCTGTACACACGAGTTTGATACCAGTTTCTCAAATTCTAAGAGTAATTCATTCATTGGGCACGTAGATGCTATTACAACAAAGCCCTAGAAAATATCAAGGTCTCTTTATTACAAAGTTTAATATTTTTGTAATGCATTGTAGCTATATACCATATATACACAATCTTTATCAAAAAGTACGTATGACAATAAATATACTAAGTAGGGCACATATTTAAATAATAATTTTAACAATTTTTTGAAAGACTCAATGCTTTGGTCTTTCTTAATTGTGAATGGAAGTGAATGTGTTTTTGCATGTCAGATGTAATTAATAAAATATGCATGTAAAATAAAATTTTGACTGTAGGTTACTTACTGGGCCGACAGCGAGGGCTTCCACCAGGAGGACAACCTGCCCAAAATCGAGCTGAAGCCTGCAGAAGAGACGGAGGCAGTACGCGCGGCGCGTCTCGCCCACGAGAAAGCTTGGCAGGAGGCACGCGCTGCCGCGCTGCTGTCGCCGCAGCCCCAGTACGTAAACACACACGCACACATCATAATGTCCTCCAGACTAAATTTCGGTCACGATGACCAGTTTTAACAGATACTCGTCATCTGCGCGAGACAGGATTATAGTGCTCGAGTATATGAGCACGCCCAGCTGCATTCTCTATTCCCTCAGTCTCAAAAAGTCTAATCCGATGGGACGGTAACGGACACGACCGGAGAGAGATCAGGTGCAGGACCAACGTCTTTACGTACTTTTAAAGGTATGAGGCTAAAACACCATCAACCTCCTGACTCCAGGCTGCTACTGAGAATTTCTTGACAGCTAAACCCAATAACTGATTTTGGCCGACTCAAAACTTGAACCTGGGACCTCATCAGACACAGACACCAACGAGACAGTCAAAAACATTCATACATACACACTCATCACACAAACGTATGCGCACGAACACCTATAATTTAATTGGGTTTCTTAATCCATAATTATCTTCACTAATCACTCAGTTCCGTCAAATATATGTACACCTCCAGCCCTATGATAGGTAAATCCTGAAAACATGAACACATCGGCCATCTAACTTCTGGAAGACTTCTTTAATTTACGCAAAACCAAAAAAGAGTCGCCTTGTTCAGACCCATCAAACAACAATACCACTATCACCCTTTTCAACAAAATGTTAGAATACAGAAGTACAGAATTATAGCTTACTGTGTTTTACTCTTTTTTCTTTCTTTTATTTACGTTACTCTGGGATTTTATCCTATATCGTGGAGGCAGTTTACAAATATAAATTTCACTAGGACAAAATTTTCAGACCCAGAACAATTATTTGTAGATCATATAAACAATTGTTCCGCGCGAGATTGGAACCTGCGGCCCTCAGCACTCAAACTCCTTGCTAAGCCACTGCGAACTTTAGAAGACTATCGTTAAAGGATGAACATTAATTTTTTTAATTCTTTTGTTCAATATAGATTACAAGTAATTCTTATTGAAAGTCAATTTTTTACTTTACCACTGGTTCGAAAAAATCTCTGTCCTGGGAAAAACCAGCAAGAAACCCAGCGGGACGTTTTTTTAAAAATAAATTTTACAATGTCAATGGTTACATAATATTTACAAAATTAATTTTAGAAACAGCTTGGAAGCGACCACCTCATTCCCGGGGGTTATTATCAACCATGTATTCATTTATATCATAATAACTATTTTTATACAGTTTTGGTTTGATTAAATATTTAGACTTGGTAATAGTATTTTCTAGGACTTTGTTGTGATAGCGTATACATTGGCCACAAGAATGAATTACTGACTCTGTGGAGTCGAGAAACTGGTATCACTAGCTTGTATTTGTTCCTAGTGTTTACAGAGTGTATGCCACTTTTTTTACTAAAACTACCTTTGTTTTTGTGAACATACATCAAATTTTCATAGATATACTGAGAGGCCAAAGTTATATTTATTTCTTAAATATTTTCTTTAAGAGAATTGTTACTTCTAAACACATCTAGGGGTGAATACGAGCCATCTGCATCCGAGCTGCAAGATTCCGTCGTGTCTGCGCCGGCTCCGGCAGAAGCACAATCGCGCGAGGGCAAAGCATTGCCGGCCTACGGACAAAACTCCTACCCGCAGCAGTCCTACCCTCGGCCGTCCGTCTCGACAACCACAGAAGAACCTGAGCCCACCGTAAGTCTATTTAATTATATATTCCTAATTACAAAATAATATAAAAGGCGGACATAATGCCTTAAGGTATTTCCAACCTGTTAACACATGGGGTGGTGAAAATTTGACGTAGGTGTAGTAATATAGAATAAAAAACAAAATAAAAGTGATTAACAAAAAAAGTAAAAGTTAACTACGTTTTACTAATAAATAAACTACAAATATAACCTATACATACCTGTATACAAATATACGTATTTATGTATATATATATATATATATATATATATACATATATATATATATATATATATATATATATATATATATATAATAATTAGTACATACAAGAAACTATGAATATGTACGTCTGTTTAGCAATACATATGACATAAGTCTACTGCCATGTTTATCTATACAAATAAATAAAATTGAAATGTCTGTATATATACAGTATATACAGTACTTATAACAAAAACACAATTTCTAATAATTTTTTTTGACTGTGTGTCTGTTTGTTCCGGTTAATCTCTGAAACGGCTGGACCGATTTTGACGGGACTTTCACTGGCAGATAGCTGATGTTATAAGAAGTAACTTAGGCTTCTTTTATTTTAGAAAAAGATTTTGGATTCCGCGCAAAAAAATTAAATGCTAAATTACACACGGGCGAAGTTGCGGGAAACAGCTAGTCATTAAACATTTTGTAGATCACGGTTGGACGTGGGCGGCCAAATAAAGAACAAAATTAATCCTATATAAAAATACTTCACAGCCTGTTATTATATTGGTTCTAAACATAAGAAGTAATGCCTTCCAGACTAAATTTGATCACGGTGGCAGGATGTATGCGCAAAATGCCGCGCTAGTGGTTATTTGTGAGGTTTGTAGGAGCTATCTACATGTTATTAAAAAGATATTTCAACTAATAAAAAACCTAATAAATTTTTACATAATCTTGATTCCATAATAGCCAATTGTAATTTAAAAAATTAAGTTAAGGTATCTTTCTACAACTAAACCACAGAAATGCGAAATAATTATTGATAACATGCATCTCCTCATAAAGTAAGCATTCTTTTATTTTGCGATTGACACTAATGAATAGGCAATTATTAATGAACATTTTATCTATTTAATTCTTTCAAGCGACTAAAATTCGATTTTACAGAGAAAATATTTTAAAATATGGGCGTATTTCTTACGCGATATATTGTACCGAGAGCGCGTGGTATGTATAGGATCGAACGCTCAAGGTCGTTCGCTAGGAGAAGCGCCTTAAAGTGCACGAATATGTGCGTAAGCACAAGTGCACTCTCTATTCCTTCACTCTCATAGTAAAGGGACGGCAATTCGTTACGACCTTACGACCGGAAAGAGACCACGCGCAGGACCAACGCCTTTACGTGCTGTCCGAGGCACGGAGGTGGAACACCGTTTACCTTTGCTGACTCCGGATAGCCACTGATAATTTCGTGACAGAAAAACCCAATCACTATTTTACGGCCTGACACGGGATTCGAAAGCTGTTAAATATGTCCAACAGAAATACAGCAGTAGCTACATTGCTGCTTGGCGTCAGAGATATTATATTATCGATTCAGATGGATTCGTAGACAGAAAAAGTGTCCGGTTTTTAGTGATTGTGTAACTAATGTGGGGCATCCGCGACTTTTTCTGCCACCGGGGCGGCACCACTTTGTTATGATGTGAAATATTTGGCATATGCATTGGGTGAATTTCATTTATTTCTTAATGAAATATTTGTTATATTTTAATTTATTAGATTAGAAATGGAAACTAAACCAAATTGTGGATATTCCTATATGCCAGCTGGAGGTAAAGAGTGACGAATCCTTTTTAATTAAAAAAAAAATGTTTTTTAAGTTCACGTCCCAACTTGCGACTTTTGGTTAGCTTAAGATTCCCTCATTGACTCAACCTGACATAATTCTAACTTAATTCAAGCTTTTTGTACAATATGAACTAAGAACATTATAATCTTTTTGTTTTCAGGGTCCCCCACGTGGTTTCTTCTACAGTTTCACATATCCGGTCTCCATCATAGTTCCCAAGGAGAGTGCACAACCTGAACAGAACTATAACCAGGACTTCAAACGCGCTTAAATTAACTAACCGTTGGACCAATACTTATGACAAATTGAAAGTACAATGAAAGTGATAAATAAAATACTATTGTTTTAAGTACGTATAATTACAAAAATAAGGTGGGGAGAGACATTGCCAAACTTGAATTTTGATCTACACGTTGCGACCTTTATTATTATGTTGACTTAAAAATGTTTGCACTAAATTTATAGATAGACGCTTTTTTTCAAGAGCTATATTTACCACAAAGTTCCCAATTGTTATCAAAAATTTTTTAATTTTCTTTAGTGAATTTTATTGTATATACGTGGTAAAACGTTATTCTACGTATGTGTCGTAGAAAATGGTCTATCTTTTGCCAAATTTTATCAAAATTCGTTTAACTGTTGCATGTTGAGTAAAAATATCGAAACATCTTAGCGAATTTCACGTATATAAATTAGTATTGTATTGCCATTTTTTAAAGTGATAGTAAAAATATTAAAGTCTACAGCCAATTTACCTTTAATTGTGGCTTAGTATGTGATGTCTGATTTCACCTTTTAAATTCTAGTGTTAATATTTTTACATGTGTAATTATAGTATACCTAAAAGTAAGGTTAATTTTTTTATCAGTGATTTTTAAAGACCCATTGGAACGAAAAGTGAATGGAGCGAAAAGTCCGCAAATCGTCCGAATTTTTATGTGATAAGTTTCGAACATAAGCAAGTAAGGCTACATTGGCCAGGATTAGGGTCGATCGATTTCTAACTGTACCGTCGACAAAGTAGGATTACTGTGTTGCCATTTTTGTTGCGAGTAGGTTAAGTGAGCTATTATTGACTCTTCAATTGAAGTCGATGTATTAAAGTAATAAATAAATCCAATTAGAAATGATCGTTTTATTTTTGTATCCTACGCACGAGAGCAAGGAAGATGTACGACGCTCTATAAGAAAAGCTCATACAGTGGACTAAAACCCTATTAGTGTTTAAGTACACATGGCCATTAAGTTTCACGGATACTAACACCCATGGACCTGGACTAAACAGATAGAAAAAAAAAACAAAAAAATGCGTTGCCATTGTTACACGTCGTTGGCTTGTGGATTTTATATCAAATATGAATAAGAGACATTTATACCGGCGTTTATCGTAAACTATAATATCTAGGTTTATTCCTAATTTGTATATTGCTTAACACGGCCGGTGGAACAAAAAAGTGTTTTCAAAATAAATTATTATAAAATATAATTAAAAAAAAGTTATTCTGTGTAGTGGCCGTGCAAAAATAAGAAATTGATTTAAAAATATTCTATTCTATTTTTGGATTTTTTTCCTCAGTTGCCTCCAGTTATTTTATGGTTAGATAAGGAAAGTCATTTTTAATATTTATCACATTAATATTTTGATCGAGACAAATAAGATCATAACGCAAATAAATAACTGGTAATAAATTCTCTATACTTGACTCTACACTTTTATTCACCTATACTTGAATCGGTAGCTGCATTGGTATTATCTGTGGACTGATCGGCATTATGATGATAGGCACGAAGCTATTTTGTTTCTTCATTTGCAACTGCTGTAAAACTGATCTCAGTTTGTTCTCTTGATCTTGCATAGAACTCGAAGTAAAAGGCAGCCGTTGCCCAATAATCGAAATAATACTTGAAATCCCACTGGAAATGCCATTGTAAGCCCATCCAATTGTATCTGGAACATTTATTTCTATCGGAAGGAACGGAATCGCTGAAATAATACCTCCGATTGATATTCTTGCAAAGTTTGGTAGTATAATTGCAGTTCTCTGCGGTTCAATTTCGGATTCATTGGAATCAGCATCGATTATTACAGAATCTAAATCTTCGTCGACTCTTTCCTTGTTTGAATGTTGTTTAGACTTCGTAGCTTCATTTTTCGTGTGCTTAGTTTTCGTGTTCGCTTCGTCTTTTGGTATGAGGATTAATACCGGAGGGAAGCTCCTGAAAATTAATAAAATGTGTTGGTTAAAATTAGTGCACTTTTAAAGTATTTCAGGGATTTTCTCATTTCTTCTCATTGATTTTTTTCTGGTTGAGAGATTATTGTTATTTATTTTTTTAGTACTTTTTATTCCTAAAGATTTTTTGTCTATCTAAATGATGTTTATTTACCTCTGGGCATGTCAAACTTTCATAGATGCATTTGTAAATTAAACTCATAAGATTGAAATTCGATGTGTTATGAATTTATGACATAAGGACAGTGCAAAAATGTCCTAACAGTCTTGATTGAATTGCTGATATCTAAGCAACGTTGTATTCAATATATGAACAAAAATGGGCACAAATCTACTTTGATTTCTGAGATAGTTCTGGAACAATAACCGTAATTACGGTGTAACAATAAGGTACACGGTATTATTTCGTAACTTAAATTACCATGTAGTTGCGGTGTAATAATATCCACTACTCCATATCATCCCGTGGGTGTCGTGAGAGGCGACAGAGGGAGACAAATCAGGAGATGGGCAACGTCTTTAATAACGACTAAAAATAAAAAAAACAGCGGTTGCCATCCCGCTTGCGAGGCGTGGCAACTGTGGCAAATATCTCCCCTGTGAGGCCATCTATAGGGAGACCTATGATCAGTAGTGGACTTTAATAGGCTGTAACAAATATGAAGTGGAATACAAGTGACTTCGACTTTCACTTATTTTATTTGGCATCTCCCGGCGAATGATAATTAAGATGATATACAGGTGACATTACGGTAACGATTGTGGAATAATTAGCCCGACGCGCTATTTCAACGCGTGTTCACATGTTCTCGACATATTTTATTTCTTAGACGTACATTTATTCGACGTTTTCCTTTACTACCGCCGGGAACATAGTAAATCAGCACTTAAAATTGCAATTAATAATTTTATCGCTGTCAGCAAACCGGGTCTCTCGCGTACTGAAAAAAATACAGCGAGAGCATAACCTATGTACTCGTCCAATAAAGAAAAGGGTGATCGGAAAACAATTCCACAAAATTTAATTTACAACCGGCATTATATAATATATATTAATATATCTGTTGATAAAAGATATAATGTCTACTTAAATAGATCTATATTTTTGACTTATTCCATAGTCGCGTCTAACGATAGTCACGGAGCGACTTGGGAAGATAAATTCGTTTACGCTACTATCGCACAACAATATAAGTACGTCACTGTCACAGTGTAGTAATATTTATTTTAACCCCTAGCGAAAACACAGGGTTGATATAAGTTTGTAGTATGTATTTGTGTATCTGTTTGTGGCATCATAGTTCCTGAACGGATTAATCGATTTTGATTATGTTTTTCTCGTTTGAAAGGTATCTTAATCAAGACCGTTCTTAGCTATATTTTTCAAGGAAATCTGCTCAGCCGTTAGAAGATCATCAACTTTTTTTTGGGTTTTTTTAAATTATTAATTTATGTTATTTTATATATAAGACAAGACAAATGAGCACACAGTCCACCTGATGGTTTATTTATAGAATAAGGGTGATAAATGGGCACACAGTGCACCTGATGGCCACAACAACAGCTTTTTACAAAGTTTATATTAAAGAATATACGGCACCAATAACAAAAAGATCAAAAATCAAAATTTTTGTCTGCCTTTCTGTTTATTCCGGTTTATTTTTTCTGGTACGATTTTGACTAGACTCCCACCGGCAGATAGCTGCTGTTATAAGTACTGAGGCTACTTTTATTTTAGAAAAAGAACCGAATTCCGCGCAAAAAATTAAACCCCATGAAATTGTAAACAAAACCCGATTCAAATAGGAAGTATGATATTAAATTAGTAAAAACTATGCATACGAAGTTGCAGGCACAGCTGGTTATTATAATAAAAAACCGAAATTATAGACTAAAATTAGAGCTCTACTCCCCGCGATATAGTGCTGTAAGGAATGAATATAAACGTAAAACAATTAAACTTTTTTATTTTCATAAAAACTTTTTATTTGTTTATGGTGTATTTTATTTTATGAAAAACCTCTATCCGATGATTGAAAACATTGCCTTTAAAGAAATATGTTATTAACGCATACTTACAATTGACCGAAATTATTAGTATTTAATTGTTGAAAATTTTGCAGCTGTTGTAGAAGCTGTTGCTGCAGCATTTGATGAGAAGGTTGCACTGAGGTCTTCTGATACGATGGTTGCAAAACTTGCGGATGCAACGGAGCGGAGTATACTGCAGTTAATTGAAATAAACACGCCAATAATATTTTAAAACACATTTTTACACTTTCTTTAATTTCTATTGTAACTTCTGTTTATTTTTTAGGTATATCACAATATTGAAATACGAGATTTATTTGTTGTTATTATTTTTTACTTTTTAATCAAAAATACGTTTAACACACTTTTATGTCTCTCAGTGGATAGTAAGGCGGTCAAAACACGAATGTGTGATATGATGGTATGGCACCATTGTTATGCGTGGTTGTCAACAGTGCAGTGGCCTACTGCCAGGACCTGACCTTGTCATTAGTTACTTTCTTTTTTGGGGTTATTTTACTACAACTCCTTAACAGGTATCCATTCATTCATTTATTCATTATGTAGTTTGAATTTCAATAAGACTTTCTTCACTCCAGTTACCATGTGTAATAGTTTCTTATGAATATTTTTTGCTCGAAGTTTTTGACGAGTATGTTTGCCTAAGACAAATTGTCCGACTAGGTAATTCTAATTTCGAACAGGTTCGGGAGATTACAACTCATTTTCTAGTCACCGATACTTCAAAACATGAGAACAAGGGTGGACATTATAGATCTAAGGTGACGAAGTTTTTCACTTTTCGCCGTATGAAGAAGCTTAAGTTTGCTCAGTGAGCTAAGGAGGGGCTTTCGGAGTTTCTTCTTTTTTTATAGGATTGGGTGATAAACTAGCACAGAGTCCACCTGATGGTAAGTGGTTGCTGCGGCCCGTAGACATCTACATCTATCCTCGATTACAAGTCAAAATGCGGATGCGTTGTCACCCGTGAGGACAAAGATGGAACGCCTCGTTTCCAGTAAAAAGGTCTCTACACTCACCATACGAAACACAGCAGCATTAAGCTATTATTTTACGCTGGTATTCTGTGAGACCACGCTGCTCCTTCCCCGGTCAAGCCGACCCATTCGTGCTACAACTATATTACTAATATAACTGCAGCATGGCTCTACTACGTATGAAAAATGTGATGTGTTCTTCGATACAATGCTTAATGAGGATATACGCAGTAAAATAATACCCAACGATACACAGTAGCCCAACGAATCCGTAAGTTTAAGTAGCAAGGGCTGGCCGTATAGCTCGAAGAACTGACACCCGATGGGGAAGAAAGTTTTATGAGTGGCAGCCTCATCCCTAAGTGACAAATAAGAGATGTAGGTGACTCAGGTTCGTCCTTTGTTTCATTCCTAAGGAAGGCCTACGTTCAGCAGTGGACTTGTGACGAGCTGTAATGATGATGATGATTATGATGAATATTTTTAACTAACAAAACATATTACTGTCTTAACTTACTAAACTTACTAACTAATTTATTAGCTTTGAACCAATACAATAAGTGATTAGAAATACTGTGATTTTTAAGGAATACTTAAGTCACGGTATATTTACGTCCCATGGCTAAGTACAGGTCTCCTCTCATTTCTTTAGGAATGCTTAGTTTATAAAATTAATACAGTAGAAAGCGTTGCGTTTGTTGTATTTTTGCAGTTTTTTCATATAAACGTGTTTTTTTTCAATTTAAGACATACGAGTAAAAAGCGGTAAAATTAAAAAAAATTGTGCAACCAACTTCAATATATTTAAAAAAAATTATAGATGAGGAGGCAAACGAGCACACGGCTCACCTGATGTTAAGTGACTACCGCCGCCCATAATCACCACCAGGGGAATCGCAGGTGCGTTGTCGGCCCTTTAGAAAGGAGTAAGCTCTTTTCTTTAAAATGAGAACAACAGTCAATTAATACGTGTTATTAAGAATAACTCAAAACTACCAGTCAGATATTGATAAAACTATATGGGACCACACGAAAAGTACCAGCTTTCAGATAAAAAAATAATCATCATCACAATCTGTTCGCTCAGAGAAAAGTTCTGAGGTATCACACATAAAAAGAACCATACAGTCGAATTGAATACCTCCACCTTTTTGAAGTCGGTAAAAAATGTAAGTACCATCGTACCCGGTAGGTCAAATACGATAGTATGCACATACCTATAAAATACTCAACAAATCATTCGATACAGCTCCAAACGGCACATACGATACGTTATTCACCTCTTAATAAGAATCATGGGCTAAATATAGACTGCGATTGCTAACCGTTAATATTGTTGCGCGGCTAAGTTGACATCTGGCACTAGCGCCATCTAGTGTCGGGTAACGGGGCGAGGGGAGAGCTTTCCAGAAAATGACATCACTAATCTTTCAACCGACATCATCAGTGCAGACATTCATCGACGCCATCCGCGACCTGGAAGTCAGAGCTGCTGTGAGGCTCGGGCACCACGAGACGCTTGAGGGCGCCTTGGTGGAAGTTGTGCGGCAAGATCATCGTTCCTATCGCGTCAGGGAGGTTGCAGCAGCTACAGTTCGCGACTGCAACAAAGGATACAGCCCTAGGTGCTATGGCTGTGGGGAAAGGGGCCATCTTCGCTCCAGCTGCCCTAAGCGAACTGTAGAAAAAGAGTTGATCGATCTCGAGAGGGTAGTGCAGCTAACGGCACCACCTGGCGGTGGCAGGATCGTCGTTCCCCTCGCGCTAGGGAGGTTGCGGCAGTTACGGTTCGCGACCACAATAAAGGATACAGCCCTAGGTGTTATGGCTGTGGGGAAAGGGGCCATCTTCGATCCAGCTGCCCTAAGCGAACCCTAGAAAGGGAAGGTGAACGATCTCAGAAGGGAAGTGCGGCTAACATCACCGCCCAGCAGCAGCCGGGATACGACTTTACTATCAGACATCGCAGCGGGAAATCTCATGGCAACGCAGATGCATTGTCAAGAAGACCTTGTCCTGAAGATTGGAAACATTGTACTAGGCAAGAGAGTAAGGAAGTGGTATCCGTGAGGATGCTCAGGACAGACCACCTCAGCAACAAGTGGAAGGACAGCCTACGACATGCACAGCAGGAAAATCCGGACATCAAGCCGATTCTGGAATGCATGAAGGCCCGTGCTACCAAGCCTAAGTGGAGCGACGTCTCATCGATGAGTTCAACCACGAAAAGCTATTGGGCCCAATGGGACAGCTTGCTGATTCAGGATGGAGTCCTGTGCCGTAAATGGGACAATGGTCGAGGAGACAGCTGTCGTTTGCAAATGGTTGTCCCTAAAGCTAAAGTGCCGAATGTTCTACAGCTGTGCCATAATGGTCGTTCAAGAGTCCATCTAGGAGTTAAACGAACTCTACTGAAGGTCCGAGAACAGTTTTACTGGGTCCACTATCGTGACGATGTTGAGGATTGGTGTCGTACATGTACAAGTTGTGCGGCTGTGAGGGGACCTCAGACACGTAGTAGAGGAGCATCGAAATTGTACAATGTTGGTGCACCATGGGATAGGACAGCCCTTGACATTGCGGAGCCGTTACAGAAGGGCGCAAGAGGGATTCCTAAGATCGTCCATGTGGATCGCCTGGCACGTTATTATGGGGCCGATAATGCTCGGGACGAGCATGTCTTAGGAGGGGGCAGTGTTGCGTGGCTAAGTTGACATCTGGCACTAGCGCCATCTAGTGTCGGGTAACGGAGCGAGGGGGAGAGCTTTCCAGAAAATGACATCACTAATCTTTTAACCGACAGCGTTATCTGTTGTCGAAACGAAGAACTAAGCTTCTGGAAGCTGACTATCGAACTTTCGGCGCTTTGTCGATTGGTGCGCTTATTTACTTGAATATTCTGGATGATTCGGTACTAATGTGTATAGGCGCTGCAAGGTGCGATCGGGGAAGTATTGAATTTGGCGAGACAAGCGAAGCTTCGGAGGGGAATAAATTGAATTAGTGTGCTTAATTATTAGTGTTTTAAGTTTTAATTTGTGTAAAGAAAATTAAAGTGTTAATTTAGGTAATTTTATCGGCAATTTTTATTGTCACGAACCTCAAGCTCGTAACAATATCTTAATATTTAAGATCTAAGATACATATCTCGTTACAACGACAGTGGTGTGTTTTTCCTAGTGCAGTGTTGAGTTTGGTGGTGTCAGATAGAGCACGTTATTGTGGAAGGTAGCTCTTAGAGGTGCTCTTAGAACTAGAAAAGATACACTATTTTATATATTATGCGAATCTAAAATGCAGTTGTATTAGTAGTGTAGTTGCTGCACGAATGGTTCGGCTCGACCGGGGAAGGACCACGCTCTCACAGAATATCGGCGTCTAATAGTAGCTATATGCTGCTGTGTTTCGTATGGTGAGTGTAGAGAACCGGAGACCCTTTTTACTGGAAACGAGGCATTCCATCTTAGTCCTCACGGGTGACAACGCATCTGCATTTTGATTCGTAATCGAAGATAGATGTAGATGTCTATGGGCCACAACAACCACTTACCATCAGGTGGACTGTGTGTTTGTCACCCTATCATATAAAAAAATGATTATCACATCTTAGGTAAATTCAATTTCAGGTTTTTTTTCAGCGACATAAAGCCTACTAAAGTGGTTGCATTTTTATATTTGGCGTTAGAATAAAAAATCAGCGACGTAGTAGTCAGATATTCTCACAATTACACATTGTTTTGAGAGAACCATCATAATTACTACATAATCATACCTAGCAATGATAAGAAAGGAATGTAGCACCCACATAAACTGAACGTTCGTTATCAACCTTGTAATTATTATTTAAAGACTTGTCCTATATTACTTCTAAACCTTATAAAATAAACTGATAGTATATTAACATTACATTTCTGTTGTTTTCTTCTTTCTTTATTAAAGTGAATTGATAACTATACTTATGGTTCACTTGATTGTTCATTTCATTGAAATCTGCAGCCATCTTTAATCAAAGAAGGCTGTAGATACGTCGTCACATCTGATGAATAAGATGTAACTGTCAATCTATATCCTTTAGAACAGAACACAGTGTGGTACCTGCAATACTATTTGAGGCAGAATGATTTAAGAAAGTGGTTACAAAGTAAGTAGACCTACAACAGGAAGAAAGAAAAGGAAGAAAATTAGACCTACAACCTAGTACATCAATCAATCAATTAGTACATGAATAATTTCCTACTATG